TATTGACATTTTAGTATGTGAAAATGAACACAAGCAAAGCAAAAATATAATGCAACTTTTTATTTTCCCCCCTCCTGAAGAAGCAATTATTTCAATCATTAAATTCAAAAAATGTGAGCTTTTGTCTAGCAGCAAAAAACTAAATTGGAAGTATACTATAGTGATAGTTCATACCTTATATTTAGGAATATATCCAAGAAAGTGAATTAGGTTATGTTCATTGAAAGCAGACTAGAAACCTGGAAAATGGTGCAACTTTCACTTAACCTCAGCATGCTACTATCATCAGTTACAAGGCTGTAAGTCTTCTAGGTTTGAGTATAGACTCATCACCATTTTCAACTCTACCTGTATTCCATGTGTAACAAGTTTAATGGCCCAAATAAATACTGCATTACTCCATGAGCATATTCATTTTCCAGTATCCAGAAATGATGGTAGAATCTCTCTTCTTTTAGTTTCACCTTGCCAATTACTGTAGTCAAGTGATTGGCACTTAATTCACAGAGGACTGCCAGAAGCAGATACTTAATTTTCTTAAGGAAAATCTTGAGAAGGTGTATTCCTTATCAAAGAAAAATCTGGAAATTCTTGGGAAAAAAAGTCATAAGGAACAGTTTTCCCTTTCTGTGTACTGTGACCAGAAGAGACTTGTGTTGTTCTTGGTCTGTGCACCATAGTTAACTAGGCTGATTACACCTACCTTGGAATTGTGTAAAAACATTCCACCTGAAGATTAGTAGGAGGCCAAACACTGACCAGCTCTGCCTCCCTCTAAACCCAAGACTTAGTCAAATAAACCATTTTAGTGTGAGATGAATAACCTCAGCCATGTTTAGCATCTTCTGCACTGTTCTGATAATGGGCCTGAGACTACATTATAGACTGCTGATCCCTTCATTCACTGTCTTATTTCTATTAATTTAAAAGATGCACTTTTTGAATAACAAAGCAACACAATTTCCTAGAAGAGAAAGCTTACAACATATAATAAAAATGTGATTGATTTATTTATCGATTAAAATACAAGATAACATATTGTGTATGTGCACTTATTAATGCATATATGATCAGATGCCTTGTGATATTTATTTTCTGGGAAGACTCAGTTTGTATGTCAGCTATATCTTACATACTCCAAGGTTTTCCTAGACACTGGAAGTGTAGGATTAGCTTTGATTCTAAGGAAAAATGTGTTTACCAAGAATTGAGATGGAAGCAAATGTTCTGCTTAGCTATTTGGTCCCTTTTTGCCTCCATCACTCCACAGTTCCCTTAGTAACTATCTTTGCCATTGTCAGATTTCCACTTTGCTTCAGTCTGAGTCCCCTTTTTTTGGTTTCATTTTTGACAGGTAAATTTAGTGTATGCTAAATTTATAGTATTTGCACACCTTTCCCTTTCTTGCAAGCTTCTAGTCTGACTTAAGCTAGCGTGTTTCACACATCATCCAGGGAAGGTCAGAAACTTCACAGTGAACAATTACTCTTTAGCATTTATATATTTAGTGGCTAAGCATTTCTCATAACCAAATCAATACATATCTTCATTAAGATATATTAGTTAGGTCAGTTATTGCATTCACAATATACTTTCCCCTTCAACAGCACTCTGAAGGAGCTTTTAGAGGATATGTCCTATGCAATGCTTGTCTCAACCAACACTTCAGAATTTAAGACTTGTGCTTTCTAGAAAGATATGAGAAAAAAAATATTTTTTTTTCTATTTTCCTTCTCTTTCTCAGCCACAGAAATAAGCCATTTTTTCTTCATCTCTCTGATTCACTTATATTTTGCCTGATGTTAAAAAATAATGCACATTATTCTTCACATTCTGAATTTAAAAAATCAATGAAATATCAGGCAGTTTTCTTTGCTCATGATTCATGTCTCACTCTCAGAGGCTTGTGCATGCTGACACTTGCTATAAACGCCTTGGAAACAGCCAAGATATACTGTCCTAGTCCTCAGAGGATGATGTCCTGTTATTTTGAAACCTTATGAATATGTGTAATTTAATTGATCTGTTAAAAATACAGAGACATGCTGAAACAGCATCAACAACGTACAGTGATTTCTCATTATCAGTACTTACCTGCTTGGTGTACTATGTAAATACCAATACATAAAAGCAACATCTTTAGGTGATTTCTCATTATCAGTACTTACCTGCCTGGTGTACTATGTAAATACCAATACATGAAAGCAACATCTTTAGGAAAAAAACCCACTACATTTTCTTTCTGCCTACGAAGGTGTACTAATTTAGGGGGTTTTAATCATTGAGCATTTATATTGAAAACAAAACAGATGTAGGATCTGCCTGTACTTTCTTGAGCTAAGCCACCCAAAATTTTGTGTTGCTTCCTGCAGTGTATGTCAGATTATGCTTTGGCCTGTTTTAAGTCTGATCAAATGTTCTTCAGCTTGAGCAAGTTGACCAGTACTTATGCATTTGCTAATGCTGTAATTTAGCATAACTAAGTGCTAAAAAACTATCAAGAGCTCTGTCTCCAGAATATTACTGGCATATGAACTGGTATTATTAAAAAATGCATTGCTATGACAACTTAATTATAAGAGGAGAATTAATCAGACACAGAGCAAATCTACAGTTGAATGGAAGTACTGCATCTTCAGACTGCTCTGATTG